GGTCTTTTCTAATGAGTCAGTTCTTTGCATCAGGTGGCCAAAGTATTGGAGTTTCAGCTTTAGCATCAGTCCTTCCAATGAATATTCAGGACTGATTTCCTTTAAGATGGATTGGTTGGATCTCCTTGCAGTCCAAGGGACCCTCAAGAGTCTTCTCCAACACCACAGTTCAAAAGCATCAATTTTGCGGCGCTCAGCTTTCTTTATAGTCCAACTCTCACATCCATACATGACTACTGGAAAAAACCATAGCTTTCACTAGACAGACCTTTGTTGGCAAAGTAATGTCTCTGCTTTCTAATATGCTGTCTGGGTTGGTCATAACTTTTCTTCCAAAGTGTAAGCATCTTTTAATTTCATGGCTCCAGTCACCATCTGCAGTGATTTTGGAGCCCCCAAAAATAAAGTCAGCCACTGTTCCCACTATTTCCCCATCTATTTGCCATGAAGTGATGGGATCAGATGCCATGACCTTAGTTTTCTGAATGTTGAGTTTTAAGCCAACTTTTTCACTCTCCTCTTTCATTTTCATCAAGAGGCTCTTTAGTTCTTCTTCACTTTCTGCCATAAGGGTGGTGTCATCTGCATATCTGAAGTTATTGATATTTCTCAATATATTACAACCCCTGTAACTGCCCCAAATAACACTCATTTTGATCATCTCTTCTCTAAAAACTTTCCTTGCCAACCCACAACTAGCTAGTTTTGTGAATTCTTCCACATTCAGTATAGATATTCACATAACTAAATCTTATTGAAGAGTTAATATAACTTTGTCTCAAGGAAATAGGTAGTGAAACAACATTCGATTAGCTTGCTTGACAATAGAAGATAAAAATGGAACAACTATAAAACAGTCAAAAGTATACCATGGTCCTTTGTCTCATTAATCCGTTCATTAGATAAAGACATGTTTCAGGAGGGAAGGATCTGATTTGTAATCAAGAAAACAAAAGCTGATTTATCCATTTGAATTGAAAAGCAGGTAAAGAATTTCAGTGTTTATTCACATATTCATTTAAATATAAAAGGGAACTGATCACCACCTCCGCCACCACAACCATGTGTCATATGTGTACAAGGTTAGATCAAAGTGGTAGCTAATAATACTACATTCTGCAGTTGTTCAAGGATGACAGTTGAGAAAGTTTGATGACAGAGGATAAAAATAACACTTGTTTGGGCATAAATGGAAGTTTTTTGATTGAACTATGTGAACATTCCTCATGTCACCCACACCGCCAGAAACCTAAGAAAACGATTTTGCAACATTTTTATGTGTTCACTACTCATCAAATTGCAGTTATTCTTTTTTTCTGAAATGAAGAATAACTATTGTAAGCATGAGAATAAATTGAGGTAATGATAAAATAATCAGCAACAATTAGGTATAATTCAATTTCCAGTTTTACTGCAGTTACTAATATGCATAACCTTTGTTCAAGTAGTTTGTCACAGTTGTGTAACAAAGCATTTGACAAGAGTTAGTTAATAGAAATTTACAGGCAGATACAGAAGCAGAAATGCTTACAGTTTGAATGCACTTTGTCAACAAAGAAAATATGGCCTATTTACTTTTTTTTAATTTAAAAGAAACATGGAATCTTTTGCTCCCAGCTTGACAGTCAGTTACAGAAAGCAGAAGGCACCTTAACGTTTCCTCTGGAGGATATTATCACTGCACTCCAGTATCAGCAGCGGGTAGAAACATGTGCTTTATCATACTTTGACCTTTATACTTCAAGTCAAGAGAATCCTGAGCAAGGTCAGTTTCCTCATCCAGCATGCACTTTCTGCAGATGTAAAAAAAAAGTTTTTTCCCACAGAATTTGATCTGTGGATTTTATTTGTGTTTGAATGAAATATGTTTATTTCTATGGTGGTGACTTTGCAAGAAAACAAGTGCAGAAGTATTTCCTCAAAGGCTAAAAGGAGGCATTACCACCACCACCACTACTTGCCAAGGGATTTGCAAAGCATCTTGAGGCTCATGGTTAGTATGGGAGACAAGCCAGACTCAGGAGAAGTTAGCACAGAGAAAAAAGTTGGGAGTGTTTTTCCCCGTTTAGCCAGCCAATTCAACAAAGTCCTTCAGATAGTAACACCTAGTGGTCAGATAATGATGTCTTTTTTACAAGGATTGTGTTTGGGTTTGTATATTTCCTTTATGTTTGGCATTTAAAATCCTTGGGGGGAAAGCTATTTTTGTAACTCAACTGGGATGTCCTTGTTTTAGGGTTTCCCATTGCATCAGTCCCCTAGCCTGGATGATAACCATGATAGTGCTTTGTCTTTCAGATGAAATGCAGAACTAAGGACATGACTACTGGTGCTTATTAAAGATTCCTTGCTATTTTCACAAGAGTAGGGGTGTTAGACTCTTGTCTACTGGCCAGATTCTAAATTGGGAGATTACATTCTGCTTTCCTGAATTCCCCTAGCAGAAGCAGCCATCCATGGTATCCTACTTTGCTTCCTGTGCTACACTGTTGTGTGATGTCATTAAATGGCTCTGCTTTTCTACTCTAGAAGTGACCACTTCTTAGTGGAGTGGTGAATAAATTGGTACCTATTGTCTGATATTGACCTAGTTTCAAACAAATTAAAAGGTAGGCTCTGATAGTTAAGGATAAAGAACAAAACAAAACACTCTAACAGTACTGGTTGTTGTGAAGCAGTAAAAAAAAAAAAAAGAAAAAAAGAAAATCTGCTTTCTCTTCTGCAACACAAATTAATACATTTTTCAAAAACTACACTAGTGGTTGACAACGAATTGTTATTTTGCCTCAAACAGAAGGATAGTTCTAACAGCAATGATGAGGTTTGAGAGGATGTGATCACATATCACAAACCAGTTAAACCATCTCTTTCACCTTTAGGTTGCATCTAACTATCCTAGACAATTGATCTGTCTGTTTCATAAAATCTCTCTTTTAGGAGAGTCTTCACTTCATCTTTTCCTCTTAACATATTTCAGTGTTTTTTAATCTTTCTATAAAAATGATGTTATTTTTATTTAACCTCCAGTCCACCTACTGTAGCTTAATGTCACCATCTTTTATCCATCTCTAGCCTTTTATCCTGCACTAGTACTGAGAGGCAGTGTAGCACAACAACATGGTTTTTGGAGTCAGACATGCCCACATTAAAATCCATCACTTTATAGGTGTGTGATGTTGGGCAAGTTACTACTGAGGTTCAATTTCCTCATCTGTAAATGAGCACCCTCTTCAACCTCATGTGAAGATCAAATTACATAATATATTATTTGTACGGTTATGGGGTAAGATGAGGCATGGTATTTGGCACCCAAAAAGTGCTCAATAAATAGTAGTTATTTATCTGATTAGGTGCACAGATCTGACTCAATTCATAAACTTTAAGAGTGGGGAAACAAACTTCCTGGATTTCAACACAAGTTCCCTGGTAGCTCAGTGGTAAAGAATCCGCCTGCCAATGCAGGAGACAGAAGAGACGTGGGTGTGATCTCTGGGTCGGGAAGATCACCTGGAGAAGGGAATGGCAACCCATTCCAGTATTCTTGCCTGGGAAATCCCAAGGACAGAGGAGCCTGGTGGGCTACAGTTCATGGGGTTGCAAAAGAGTTGGACATCACTTAGTGACTAAATAACAATAGTGTCATAAACATACTAGGCACAGAGGTTCAAAATTTGTTGACTTATTTTTCCCCTGAAGTGAAATGAACAGCCCTCACCTATTTGCAAGATATCACATACTTAGCTCAAAAGGTGACAAAATCGATCAATCCTCTGATGTCTCCAAATATGCAGATAAATACCTCGCTTAGTCTAGATGTTTTGGCAAGGCAAAGACACAACACGAAAAGCTTAGACTTTCTGTTTCTATGAGGTTTCGTTTCTATGAATATTTTACATGTGATTATTGTCTTGGGCGCCCAGAATGGGAGTGACTCAATCAAACGCCTTCTCATCCATCCAAGCATTCTTTGAGAAAATTTTAAAAGAATACTAACAACTATCTAATTATATACCTGAACAAAATCTTTCAACTTATGACCAAGTATACTACCTGCCCTGTTTATCTGTAAGATCTGTGCTAACTACAGATATATTTCTAATCTGCTTTGTTCCCAAGCCAATCCCCTTTCCCAATAACCCACCGGTGCAAGTTCCAGAACACAATGAACATCTGTGAACCAGTGAGGTGTTGGTTAGGATTTTATTTTTTTGCTTTTAAAGGTTTTTACGGGGCTAGGAAGGAAAGTTGAGGAACACGCATGGGGATATATAGAGTCGATTGGGCTGGAATGTCTGTCAGTAAGGAAAGAGTGTGTCTCTTTTACCATAATCTTGGAAAAAAGATTATGTGCGTGTTCAGATGGAGTCACTGCAGTATGGCCCGTTCCCCGACTGATTCATAAGGGGCGATCTCAGGTGTGGAGTTCCAGCACCTGCTTGATCACACTCCGGCAGTTCAGAACCCAGCGTATTTGAGGCCGGTGGCTCAGGTTCCATTTAATTTGGCTCACGTGTCACTAACACTATGTGCAGTGCCCGTCACTGAGTCGTACTTTGGGACTTAGATACTTACTTCGGACTTTCTTGTTTCTCCCCGCTTCCTTCCCATTAGTTTCCCTTTCACTCCGTCCCCGGGGTGCCCACTTCCTCCCTTTCCTCCCATTCTCCGCTTTCTTCTTCCTTCCTACTGGGCTTCCCGTCTCTCTTCCTCGGAGGGCCGCGGGGCTCGAAGCTGAGGCTCGACTCCGAGGAGGAAGAGGCGCGAGGCCGGCGGGACAAGCGCGAGGTGCCCAGCCGCGAAAGCGCGGGGTGCGCGCCGGGGCGGGGGCGCGCGCGGGCTGGCCGCGTGGCCGGGCGGCCGGACCAGGGAGCGGCGCGTGCGCGCGTGGCCCGCGAGCCCCTGGCGCGCCCCCGGCGGCCGGGGCCGCAGCGTGCTCGCCCCCGCTGCCAGCTCGCCTCACTTATGGGTCGGAAGCGCTGCGTGGGGGAGACTGTTCCAAGATGGCGGCGGGTTGCTGCGGGGTGAAGAAGCAGAAACTGTCCAGTTCGCCCCCCTCTGGCTCGGGTGGCGGTGGTGGCGCCTCCTCCTCCTCCCACTGCAGCGGAGAGAGCCAGTGCCGAGCCGGGGAGCTGGGACTAGGAGGCGCCGGTACGCGGCTCAACGGGCTAGGAGGTCTAGCCGGAGGAGGTAGCGGCAGCGGCTGTACCCTCTCTCCCCCCCAGGGCTGCGGCGGCGGCGGCGGCGGGGGCATCTCCCTGTCGCCCCCTCCGAGCTGCGGAGTGGGGACCCTACTTTCTACCCCGGCCGCCGCCACCTCTCCCTCGCCCTCCTTGTCGTCCGCCGCCTCGTCCTCATCGCCCGGCTCCCGGAAGATGGTGGTGTCAGCGGAGATGTGCTGCTTTTGCTTCGATGTGCTCTACTGTCACCTGTACGGATACCAGCAGCCCCGGACCCCCCGGTTCACCAACGAGCCCTAGTGAGTACCGTGCCCTCCGCCGCCCTCTCCCTTGCGCTCGGGATGGGGCTCAGAGTTGAGGCAAAGTACGAGTCCGCCTCCCCGCCGGCCGCTGCCCCTGCCCCTCTGGCTGCCCTGGGTCCCTGGAGCCACTCTCCCTGAGTAAGGGCACCCCGCACTTTCTGCCCTCTGAGGCAAGCGCCCCACACTTGGAGAGGGGTGCTGCTGCGAGAGAGGGCTCGCTGACTCCCAGAGGTGTTCGCTTTCTCTTTGAGATAACTTCGAGGAGTTTTGACCCTCTCCTTCGCCACTCCGGGTCCCCATCTCCCGGGTTTGGAAGCTCTGGATCCCTCACGGTGTTGACCTCTCCTGGATTGGGTTTCCTTGACCCCCAGTGAAAGTCCCGCCGGTGTTCCCGCCCCGCGTACCATGCACATGGAGCGTTACTATCCCATTGCAGCGTAAAAAATAGCAACTATCCAACTTCTGTTCTGCCAGTGATGGAACTTAGCTCCGGAGCCTATGAGCTTACCCATCTTTTTCCTTCGGGTTTTCTTGTGTCCTGGGGAGGGAGGAGGTTTTTTTGTCAAAACACATGTTCCCTTAGTACCTATTTTTATCCGAACTTACCCATTAAAATGTGTTTCTAGTGAAGCGCACCGCCGGCTCTCTCACATTTAAAGAGTGAGACCTTTTTTTTTTTTTTTTAATTCCACCGTCTGGGTAATAGCTCATTCAAAGAGAGCTGTCCCCATAGAGCCACTGTCAGTTTGTACATTACGCGTGCACTCGCTTTTGTGTCGATTTCACTTTTAAGAAACCCATGTTAGGCTTGACGATTCGGGAAATAGTTAAACAGTAAGTGTGTAGGAATTTTTATGGTTTCCCCCGGTTTTGTACTTTTATTTTACCCTTCAAGTGTGTGGTTGAAATTATTTAAAATAACACTGTTACAGCTAAAAGCCAGGTTAATTCTAATCCCTGTCCATTTGGATGTGTGGGAGATGGGGAATGTGTTGTTTTTTTAATGTGTACACTTGAGTGTAAACTGACTTTTTGAGTTAAATGCTCAAGACGGAATGTAAAGCCCAAGGAAGGGCAGAATGACAAAGAGGGTGATTGTTTTTCTTATGAGTACTTAGCATCAATGGGAAAAATAATAGAGAAAAATTTCAGTGAAACTTATACTGAAAAGCATCAACCCTTTTTCTGGTTAAGACAAGTGCCCCTTGTCCCCATACCGTAAGTACCTAAATTGATGTTCTTTTAAAACTGCTTCTTTTCATTTTGTGAGATTAGGGGATTAACTGCGACTGGATAGTATAAACACTCTGCCTAGTCTAAAAATATTCATTTAATATGTAAAGTGGAAATTGCAATAAAATATCCTGGAAATTGTAAATTCGTTTTGTTTTTCTTTGGCTTTGATACTTGAAATGTATTTCATTTGTATTTTTGCCACTTTTCTTTGGTCTGTGCATTTTCTTTCAGACCTGTTTCCTCTTTGGGCATTGGTCATAAGAAATGCGTGCAAGAGCATAGACACGTGGTCAAATTACATATCTTGATAACTTTCATAGTTTTAATGCTAGAAGCTTAAATCCTAAACCCACACCTGTACTTAGCCGATTTGCTTTTTGGTTAAAAAGTAGAATTCATTTTGAAAAAGACTGCCATGTAAAAAAAAGTCTATGAAATATTAGGTTGAGTCACTTATTTGTGACTTTTCTGCCTTCTCTTGGATGTCTATGATGTATTAAAGCCAGTCCGGGGATGATACATAGGTTGGCTCAGCAAAGCCATGGGACTGCAAAAATTCACTCCTGTTTAGTTATATGAGTTTGGCAAAGGCTGTTTTACTATTCACGCTCCATTGCTCCAAAGCATATGCGAACACACTTTCAGGAGGTGCTATTTTCACACATTTTAAAGTGAGTTTGGGTTAACTGAATGACTGTAACAAGAATTTTAAAAGGAAAGTGAGCTTGACCAGCTCATACAGAAACTGCTTTTGAGAATGTCATTTAAGTGGCTACTTTGCACACATAGTTAAGTATTATTTCTCTAATACCCCACCCACTGGATTTCTTTTTCTTGGAATTAAACAGAAAAAATAAGACACCCTTTGACCACTGTGGATATGTTGCAACAATGGTGAAAGAATAATAACTATTATCATTTAGTAGGCCTTGACTGTGTCATGTATTCCACCAAACAACAAATTTAGAAGAGACACTGAACATGACCAAGGGGAGAATGGAAGTTCACTTAAGTGGAAAGAGGAGTATATCTTTATTTTCACTTATCTTAAAGTCATTTTGGAGGTGGACTATGGAAAAATTTAGGAAAACTTCTTCAAAGCAGGGTTTGATCATGGGCGTGAAATAACTAGAATCACTTGACAGTGCCTCGGTAACCAGCACCCATTTTCTTTCTGTTTTACATATTTAATAGCATTGTGTACTTGTTAGTGTGGCTTGGTGCTGGGGGCCATAAGACATAAATAGATACATTGCTTCCCCACCTCAGAGTTATTAGTATCATGGTGTTATGAGTAGTGCTGTTTAGGTTCTGTCTCTGTCCACCAGAAGATGTGCTTTCCGATGGTGGCACATTCTCCTATGGGAAAGCAACTGTTTTCATCCCTTCCCAGGACCTTTCTGCCAAAATGTCTGTCACTGGTGAAATCTGCCTTTTATGGGCTTAGAATTTCCGGTTTCATCAGTGACCCTTCCACTCCAGTAGGTTATTAGAAATTTCCATGATCTATCAGTTTCAGGTTTGGCAGGGAGGATGTCACTATAGGAACAGGCTGTGCGGATACAGATTCTTCACTGTTGCTGCTGTTTCCTTGAGTACCTACCTCATTACAAAGAAGTAGCAGTAGCTGGGGCTTGGGAGGAGAATGGAAATCTGTTCAGTGGAGGACAGGTAACATTTGTGTTCAGAGTGAGGAATGAATGAATGAATCCTTGGTCTCAGTAGTACAGCCACATGTGCCCACAGAACTAAGGTTCAAAACATGATTTAAAGAAAACATGACTTTAGGTGCATTTTACGGTTCACAATCAGAGCTTTAGATTTATAGATGGGAACGTTATAAGGGATCCACTGTGCCAGGTGTTGAGCCAGTTCTACTCCAGAACTGTCCTTCTCAACTTTGGCTGCACATTGGAATCACTGACGAATTACTAAAAAGACAGATGCCTGGGTCCCAACCCCAGAGATTCTGATTTAATTGGTCTTGGATAAGGCCTGGGCATCAGGATTTTTAGAATCTCTCCAGGTGATTTTTTTGACATGCAGCTGAGGCGGAGGACCAGTATGTTGTATTCGACTAGGCCTTTCTCCTGAGATTGTGATTAATTTGGTGTGAGGTGGTTCCTGGGTACTCAGATTTTATGAGCCTTCTGAGTAATTTTTGGTAAACAGCTGGTTTGGGAAAACATTTGCAGTGTGGTCTTCAGACACATCACCTGGAACTTGTTCGAAATGTAGGCTCAGATATCCCATCTCAGACCTGCCGAATTTGAATCTACATTTTAACAGGCTTCCCCAGGTGACTCTTAGGCACATGGAAAAGTTTGGGGAGGTGTGGTTCTCAAACTTTACTTCATAAGCTCCTGTAGTGCTTGTTAAAACACAAATTGTTGGGCCCCATTCCCAGAGTTTCTGATTCAGTCGGTCTGGGGTGGGGCCATGAATTTGCATTTCAACCAAGCTCCCTGGTGATGCTGCTGCTACAGTTCCCAGGACCACACGTTGAGCCCCACTGGTTCGGACAGCAGTGAAGACCTGAATAAAGTACTTGAGCAACTGTAAGGGAATGGCACTTTTCACTGTCAGCTTCCAATAGAAAACTTCCTGCTTCCATGCCAATATCCTTTATCATGTTCTTTCTAACTTACACCAGGGAGACCGAATGCTGCCAAGATCATAAGAGTCTGAGGTTCTTGGGATAGTTTCAGTCCGAGGTGAGATTGGGGGGAGGAATCCCTTACCTGGAAACCTGCAGTATGATTTTAGGGTGTTTTTTTTCCAGAAATTGTTAAATGTGAGGAGCACATTTTAGGAATAAAAGCAGCTCAGATATGATATCTTTAAGTGAGTTTTATTGATTTTAGTAAGTAAGGCCCCCTTCTGTTCCCATAAAAAAACGCTTTGATGATTAGCTCGCTAAATAACATGTTATAATAAGATTTCAAAAGCTTTTTACTCACACTTATGCTTGCTGGATTGCATTTTAAGAATTTCCCTCATTAACAAAGAAACAGAAAAGGATCCTGCTAAGGCACTGGGATTGTTCAGTCTTATATCTTTAATACTGTGTTGCATGTCACATCCCATGAACCTTTTATTTTAATCTTCTTACCACCTTTGAAGTTAATGCAGTGCTACATTTTGTATAAACCAGAGCACATAAAAGATACTTTACTATTAAACATCAGTAAGTGTGTTTTCCCCTATTGCAGTGAACAAAATGTGTTTTTAAAAAAATCCACTCCTGGACATGCAGATTTTCAGAGACCCTCATCAGGTGTTTGAACAATTACCTTTTTCTTGTCTTGTCACAGTAGTCAAATTACTGTTTGTCGGTGTGCTTGGGAGGAATTGGGTTGCTATACGGAGATGAGAGGTAGGCACTTTGTTTCATCAGAACTGTAACGATCCTATGCCATGTTAGTAAGAAAGATGATTTGATAATACAGCTCAGGTCAAAATGATATTAAATCCGCATTTTAAGCACAGACTATTTCTGTTAAGTCTCTTTTGAATGAAGACTGACCAGAATAGCTGGAAGGTGTGTGTTTCTCCTAGATGATGCTATTAAGCCATTACAGATTTCCTTATCTATGCTAGTGTAATGATCGTGATGTGTAGTTCTTCTTTAAAATAATAGTCTGAAAAATTTTTGAGCATTTTGGGAGGTATTATATGGGTTGTTTTTCAACAAGGTCTGTTTCCATTGGAAAGCAATCTTGTGTCCTATCTTATGACAGAAAATGAAGCAGGGCATGCCC